CAGCCAAGAAAAAGAAAGAAAAGGAATCCAAACTGGTTAAGGAAAAAGTAAAACTGTCAATTTTTGTAGATGATGTGATACTATACATAGAAAACCCTAAAGATTGCACCAAAAAACTATTAGAACTAATAAATAAACTTAGTAAATTTGCAGGATACAAAATTAAAATACAGAAATCTATTGCATTTCTATACACTAATAATGAAGTAGCAGAAAGAGAAATTAAGAAGACAATCACATTTATAATTGCATCAAAAAATATAAAATATCTAGGAATAACTTTACCCAAGGAGGTGAAAGACCTATACTCTGAGAAATAGAAGACACTGATGAAAGAAACTGAAGACAACACAAACAAATGGAAAGATATACCATGTCCATGGTTTGGAAGGATTAATATCATTAAAAAGTCCATACTACCCAAAGCTATCTACAGAGTCAATGTAATCTCTATCAAAATCCAAACAGTATTTTTTATAGAACTAGAACAAATAATCTTAAAATTTGTATAAAACCACAAAAGACCCCAAATGGCCAAAACAATCTTGAGAAAGAACAACAAAACTGTAGGTATCACAATCTCAGATTTCAAGATATACTCAAAGCCAAAGTAATCAAAACAGTATGGTACTGTCACAAAATAGATTCATAGATTAATGAATAAAATAGAGAGCTCAGAAACAAACCCACACTTATATGGCTAATCAATCCATGACAAAGGAGTTAATAACATACAATGAGGGAAAAACAGTCTTTTCATTAATTGGGAATACTGGACAGCTACATGCAAAAGTATGAAACTGGACCACTTTCTTACACCATACACAAAAATAAATTCAAAATGGATTAAAGACCTAAATGTGAGACATGAAACCATAAAACTCCTAAAAGAAAACATAGGCAGCAATCTCTTAGACACTGGACATATTTTTGGATATGTCTCCCCAGGCAAGGGAAACAAAAGCAAAAATAAACTATGGGACTACAACAAAATTTAAAGCTTTTGCACATCCCTGAAGCAAAAAGGAACCTGTTGAATGGGAGAAGATATGTGCAAATAATATATCCAATAAAGGGTTAATAACCAAAATATATAAAGAACTTATACCCCTCAACATCAAAAAACCCCACATAATCTCATTAAAATGGGCAGAGGACCTAAATAGGCATTTTTCCAAAGAAGACATACAGATGGCTAACAGACACATGAAAAGACATTCAATATCACTAATCATCAGGAAAATGTAAATCACAACCACAATGAGATATCACCTTATACCTGTCAGAATGGCTAGTATCAAAAACAAGAAATAACCAGTGTTGGCAAGAATGTGGAGAAAAGGAACCCTCATGCACTGTTGGTGGGAATGCAAATTGATGCAGCACTGTGGAAAACAGTATGGAGTTTCCTCAAAAATCAAAATAGAAATACCATGTGATCTAGTAATTCCACTACTATTTATCCAAAGAAAACAGAAACACTAACTTAAAAAGATATATGCGCTCCTAGTTTATTGTAGCATTTAAAAAAAACAGCCAAGATATATAAGCAACCTAAGTGTCCATCAATAGAGGAAGGGATAAAGATGTGGTATACATACACAATGGAATATTATTCAACCATAAAAAGGAATAAAATCTTGCCATTTGTGACCACAGAAATGGGCCTAGAGGGTATTATGCTAAGTGAAATAAGTCAGAGAGAGAGACAAATACCATATGATTTCACTTATATGTGGAATGCAAAAACACCCACAATCAAACAAACAAAAAAGCAGAAACAGATTCATAAATAGAAAGAACTGGTGGTTGCAGGAGGGGAAGGGAGTGGGGGAATGGGCAAAAAAAAAAAAAAAAAGATGGTGAGATCGTCTATCACTAAGAAAACTCAAAACTATGGAGATGTTAAGTCTTTTCAAATTGCGCTGTCTACATAAAATTTAATACCAATCAAAAGTCCAAAGTTTATTTATAGAACTTGATAATCTGATTCTAAAATTTATATAGATGATCAGAAGAACCAAGAATAACCTGGAAGGTTTGTTCAACCAGATACCAATATTTATTACAAAGGTATAATAACTGAGTTTGAGAGAAACAATGGATCAGAATACGGAGGCTATAACAAAATCCATGCATATATGAAACTTGCTTAAAAATAGAGGCTTCAGTGCAGGTCATTTCAGGGGGGAAAAGAAAGACTAAAAGAAATGGTACTGGGAGAACTGGGTATTCATATGGAAATTAAAGAAAATTAGAATCCTATCTCATACCACATATACAAATTAATTCTCGGTGAATTCAGACTTCAGTGTAAAAAGGAAAAACTTTAAAACTTTTGGAAGAAAATAGAGAAAATGCAGATTACCTACAAAGGATAAACAATAAGAGCTCTTACATAAGCAAAAATATCAAAGACACAATACATTTAAAATACTAAGGAGACAAAACATCAACTGAGAATAATTTAATCACCTAATAAAACTCTCCTTCAACATTAGCAGTGAAAGATTTGTTTGGACAAAGAAAGCCCTACTTACGCTTGCTAAAGGAAGTACTACAGCAAAAAAGAAAGTAAACCCAGAGGGAAGGAAGAGAAAACAGCAAGCACGTCAATTCAACACATTAGCATATGTGTTACCTTAGAATGACAATTTTTATTCTAAAAATTGATAAAATTCTCCAAAGTAAAGCAATAATAAGAAAGATGGGGTCTTGAGATGAACATTTAAATATGTTAAGGTCCTCATGATGTTCTAGGAGAGGATGGGTATATTGAAAAATGTATACTTCATTTGAAAAAATTGGTAGGTGTGAATATTAAAACTTCAAGAGAAAACACTGAAGGAGCAGAAATTGCTTCTGAAACACGAAATGTGCTTTTTGCGGGAGAAGGCTTTATTCCATGAAATATAGACCTATTTGTTCAGTTATGTTTTAAACAGCACCACCAGTTTATTTTGTACGTTTCTTTCCTTTCTATGAAAAGGTAAAAAAGCCATGTTTACTTTAAAAAATGATCCTCACTAATACTCTCTTTTTTATAAAAACAAATTAAGTTTTTACAGTTTTAAAACCTAACTATACTATGAAACACTGTTTATTCCATACAAAAACTTAATGATAAAATGTTAGAGGCATTCCCTTTAAAAGATTATCACTATTTACAAGAGTCCTAGCCAATGTTGTAATAGAAGAAAAATAAATTATGTCGTTGACCCTTGAATAATACAGGGGTTGGGGTGCTGACCCCTGCACAGTCAAAAATCCACATATAACTTTGCCTCCCTAAAAACTCAACTACTAATATAGCCTAGGGTTGACTGGAAGCCTTACCGATAACATAAATAGTTGACTAACACAGATTTTGTATATTATATACTGTATTCCTACAGTAAAGTAAGCTAGAGAAAAGAAAATGTTTTTAAGCTAATCACAAGGAAGAGGAAATACATTTACAATATTGTACCTTATTTATAAAAAAAAAAAACAAAACCCTGCATGTAAGTGGATCCATGCAGTTCAAACTTGCATTGTTCAAGGTTATTCAACTGTAGTTGAATAACCAGGATAAAGGGGCAAAATTTTCAGTATCTGCAGATGATATTATGCCTATATAAAAAATCTACATACAAAATCTATGCCTATATAAAAAATCTACAAAAGAGAGTTCAGCAAGACTATCATAGCTGAAAATTTACACAAAAATCAATAGCAACAAAATTAAAAGATCTTTTAAAATTAAAAAATCATGTTTATTATAGCAAGAAAACTTAGAAGTCACCTAAGAATAAATATAATAAAAGCTATATAAAAGTGTATAAAGAAATGATAAAATGTTTTTGAAGTACATAAAAGACCTGAATTAAAAGGTCAAGCTCCTGTGTTTGAAGTAGGAAAGGTGAAAACCGTAAAGATGTCAATTGATATTTATTCTATAAATGTCAATTCCTATCATAATCTGAACAGAGGGATTTTTTAAGGAATTTTACAAATTAATTCAAAATATCATAACGACAAGTAAAATGACAAGAGTATAAAACCAGTGTGGACACAGAAGGAAACAGGGTTCATTGATGAATTAGATATGGGGGGGAGGATACAAGATAAAAGATAAACATAGCAACTCCTCTACGGTCATGGGCTCAGTAATTAAGAAGTACATACTTCATAAAGAAAACTCATAAAAGCCAGCTATTGCTAAACACAGTCCAAGTGAGCAACCTGCCTGTAAGCCTTGTGGTCTCTGCTGAGACCGGCCACCTCATTGCCACGCAGGGGAGATCTCTGGGAGAAAGAAGTCAGTGGGGTCTGCAGGCCCATGACTCGAATGCACACGGATGAGGGTCTGCACGTCATGGCCCGGCAGAGCCTCAGCAGTCCAGCAAACTGAGATTTTCAAGACCCTCAAAAAGCCATCCCAGGGAATTTTCTCTGAACTCTGCATTGTGTACTATCTCCTGGAAACTTTTATTTTTTTTTCCACTTAAAAGCTGATTATGTGTTTGCCAATGAAAGTAGATTCAAGGACGGCCACAGGAGCAGAGGGAGATGATTTTTGTAGGAAGAATGAAGCAGAACAGGACACAGAAGACAAAGGAAAAGCAAAGCCTCCAGGCCCTCCTGCATACATGCAGCACTTGGAAAAATGAGGAAAACACCAGCAACTCCTCCTTTGTTTCCCCCACCCCCGGAACAAAATGTAAATCAAGAGAGATCACAGGTGCATTAGTGAAAAGTTCTTCAAGTGATATGCCTTCCTGTTGCCTTCCTGAGCCTCATAGAAACACAGAAGGAGGAAGGAAGAAAGTGATTTGCACTGGTTTGTGGAATTTAATATTCCTGTAAAGGTAATTGTGTGGCTCTTGATAATTCAGCAGTTTAAACTCATCACGACATTTCATCTTCAAGGGCTATTTCAATCCCTCAAATAGATTTTTATTCTACCACTCACACATTCAAGGATGAAAAATGTGGCTCACTGTATTAAATTAAATTACCTTTAAAACTTGCAGCTTTGCTTCAAGCTCTGCTCTTTTGAGAATCATTGTTCCATTAAGAGTCTCTATCCTGTTTTAAGAAAAAAGGGGGGGAGGGGAACAGCATGAGTGATCCTTTCAAACAAGTGCCATCCTTATGGAGTACTACACTTTCAGCACAGACTATACTTAAAAAAGCAATATAAATGTTATGATTCTCATGGCACTTCAAGTATCTGGACCTAGGCCGAATCTTCTGACTTTCCCCCCTTCAGGGAAAGGAAGTGGGAAAAAAAGACAAAAACAAAAACAAAAGTCCCCTCGAGAGGGTGGTTGAAAGAAAAGATATTGGTTCACTTGTAAGCTGTAGCTCATTTTATAGACGCCACTGTATGACAACGACTATCGTCCTCTGCTGGAATTTATTCTTATGGGCTCTGGCTGAATCACCTGTTTTATTTGGTCAATGCTTATTGGGCATATACCATGTGCCAGACTTTAGACACCATGCTAAGCATGAGGGGTCCAGCAATAAAACATATAATAGGGATCTTCAAACAGTGGAATAGACATGCCGTTTCTCGGAAAAAGGAAAAGTCCTTTCTTTCCCAGGATTCTAGGAAACTGTACCTTTGTAAATTGCCTTAATTTTTCAGCTAGAAAAAAACAGAGCCAGACAGACCACTATGAGATAATAACCTTCATACGACTCTCACATCTCAGAACCTTTTAAGTTTATAAACTTCAATCCTAGAATTATCAATTTAATGGTGTTCCATTTCTCCCTATACCAAATGCCCTTCTAAAAATAAAAAGACTTTTTCTATCCTGACTGATTCGATTTGTTTTGTGGGCTCATGTTGACACCTGTATTTTGACTACTAAGTCAGCAATCTGAATAAGATAACAAATGTCATGTGTGAGTCACACACCTAAGCCTTTAAAATATTGGTTCAAATTCCTTCTGATAAGTAAGCTGTAACTATTGTATTAAGATGCAGAAATTTTTCAAGTCATGGTAAAACAATAGCATTAAATATGAAGACCTATTTTTCTCTGTTTCTAATAGCATCATTCCCAAGATAATGAGATGATAATGCAAGCCAGGATGTTGTCTGCTTTCTCATTAGGGTGGTCTTGTCTCTGGGCATTAGTGAGGATCCTATGAATCTGTTTCAACAGGACTCTTAATGCCCATCTGACCTGCCCAAGCAATAGGTGTCTATGTGCAAAACCACAGGCATACGTTGGTTGTTCTCTTCAGTATTTAGACAGATGTCTCTCATTTTCCTGATTTCTGGATCTCCTTTTGTCTCCACCCATTACTTCTTAATTATATCCCTGCATTCTGCCCACTTCACCCATTTGGAAGGTAGCTTCCTGATTCTAACTGCCACCTTTCCCCCTTGGATACTCTATGGCTCCAACCTCATAGATTCAAGTTTCTCTAGAGTAAAGAGCACCCCCATCCTCTACCCTGAACTCACAAGATCCACAGAGTTGGATCACTAGGTCCTCTACCATCAGGAGTCATCTTTTAAAACTACTCCCGCACACACCCAGAACATCTTTGAAGTTTTAGACTAGAATCACTGAAGAGCATCCCGCGGATTTTCTATTGGCAGCTTGCAATGAGCAGCTGTGGGGTAGCCGAAGAGAGTGGATCCTGGCATCCAGAGCAGATGGTCAAATCCTAGCCCAGTCACTTACTAGATCATTGAGCTTCACTCTACCTAATTTAAGCTTCAGTCACTTTATCTATAAATAGAAATAAAACTAACCTCACAAGGTAGCTGTGAAGAATGAAGGAGGTAATGTAAGACCCACCTTAGTCAGAATAAATCCTAAACTACTTAGCCTGATAAGACCCATGCTCTGCCCCTTGGCAAACTCCCTGCCTTTACTTCTTATACTCTCCCTAATCTACCGACCACCCATCACACTGGCTGTCTCTCTATCTCCTGGACATGCCAAGCCCATTTTGAGAATTCAAACACCTCTCTCTTTGCATGAAATGCTTTCACCAGGAGTTCATATGACCATCCCTTCTCTTTCTTTAAGTCTCAGCTCAGATGTCCCCTCCTCAGAGAAGACCCCTTTCAACACCTAAGCTACAGAGCAGTCCTCTTACGCAGTATTCTATCCCATTCCTTATTTTATTTTCTTAACAGCAGTTATCAATAATTGAAATATCAAAATTACTTCTTTTGGAGGCTCTCCTTGTCCATCTCCTCCCACAATCAATAAAGCACTATAAGAGTCTTTGTCTATGTCTCTCCTAAGCCTATTGTAAAGCTGGAAACGAACTTGCTCAATAAATATCATTTAAATGACTGAGGAAATTCCATCTTTCAACTAATTACTGAAGTCTTACTAGGTTCTAAGGATGGTATGGTGGAAAGGTCAGTCAAATCTCTGGTTGAGGAGGCCACTGTCCCATTAGTAAGTCTGGAATATTAGTAAGTGTGAGTGTGTGTGTGTTGCAGGGCAGAGAGGATTGAGCAGACTTTTTTCTTCCTTCCAAATAGGACACTAGAAAAGAAAAACAATTGGCTTGTGGTATAAGAGAAAAACTTCAGCCCTTCTGACCTTTCATTTGTTCTAACCACAAGATTATATCAACCATGGAAATGGGACCAGTTCCCCTCTGCCAAAGAGAATATGTGCCAGTTTCATTGAATTTGACATAAAAAAATAAATTTTCTAAATGCTATCCCTCCCACACAGACATTTGGGTTATTGATGTCCTCTGCCTTCAGATGTTGACAGTATTTTCAAATTTGAGGAAACCTTGAGAAACAAAAGGAACTGATAAACAATGTCTGTACCCAATCCCAGAGCTATGGTGCACTGCCTCCCTTCTTGTGATCCTGAACAAAAAGCCTATTCATTCACTCAACAGGCATTATGAAAGACCGTAACATTTTTGAAGGCCCTACGGGAAGCAGATGGATAGTTACGTTAACAGGTTTCCTGAAGATCTGATCAGGTCAACAACTTGTTTGTGGGTAAAGCCTTCTGTGTTCACGCCATTGATATTTGCAAGGACATCACCTGGGAGATGCCAAGAAAAGTGAGTTGTTAAAATAGTTGCTTCAATAATCTCTCCTGACATGCAAAAAAAAAAAACAAGCGAGCCCCAAACCTTAGCAACATAAAGGAACTAAGAAAATTCACAGCAGCAATCATATCCCAACCTTTGACATCATAAAGTTTTCTTTTCTTGCTATTTAAATAATTCCTAACACAAGCAAAGTTACAAATTACCAGTTTGCAGGCCAGCATAGTGTGCTGGGCTGTCCTCCTGGATTTTGCAAATCAGAGTGCACATCTCTGAGGAGCACAGGTTCTGGTTCTGCAGCCTGTAAGTCTGTAAAAATTAAAGTGATACATAATTACTATTCAAAAACCTCAAAATCCATGTGTCAAAGAATAAAATGGTGTTGATTACCTTAAGCAGTATAGTAGGTAAGTACAAAGAACAATTTGGAGAGGGTTTCTTGAATATGAACTGAATCAAAGATACCAATCGGGAAATTCTATGATGCAATCTGTAGCCAACCCCATCCATTAAAAAAGGGGGGGGGGCGGCGGGAGGGTGCACCTGGGTGGTTCAGTCGGTTAAGCGTCTGCCTTCGGCTTTGGTCCTGACCCCAGAGTCCTGGTATCCAACCTGGTGGGTCCCTCTCCCTCTGCCTGTAGCTCCCCCCGCCCCCACTCTTGCTCTCTCCCTCTCTCTCTTTCTCTCAAATAAGTAAGTAAAATCTTTAAAAAAAAAAAAAAAAATCCCAGCTTGAGGGAGAAAGTAGGAATAAGATTGGTTTAAGATTTTGTACATTCAAGCCTAAGAGACCACCTGATGCTCTCATTATTACATATCTATTAAGCAAAAGCAGGTCTCTTATTTCCCAATGGGATAAAACAATAGTAGCCAAAGCAAAGAGAAAAATCTCTGTGTATTTCTCCCAGGCTAAAGCACTCATTAGAGCAGCATATGGGACAGTACACATCCAGGAAGGGAGATATGCCAACAATAATTATTTTAAATCAGAGCTCTGCAAATAATGACAATCTGCCCTGCATTTTTTCAAAAGTACTATAATCGACGCGATCACCTTCTTGTCTTAAGTGCTCTCTGCTATGCCTGCCCTGAATACTCATCAGTTCATTAGTCACCCAACCAAATTAGAAAAACTTATGCTTCATCTCTTGCCTCAGTTTGGCAAAAGCAGCTTGGTTTTGTTTTTGTTTTTATTTTTGTGTCAACTTGTACCAAGAATACTGCTTAAATATTGCTACAGGGAGTGGCCCAATGACCTATAACAAACAGATTTGTATTTTTCACACATTTAAGTTATGAAGCCTTGTTCCATTTAGAATCAAAATCAGCACCTGAGTTAAGTAATCTGATTCCTAAAATTAAACCACATTACAGCGCCGCTTCCTTGTGGAGAAGTTAATGTCTGATGTTCATTCTTTCTTACTTTACAGACACACAGGCTCCAGAACCCAGAAATCAGACACAGGCAAGCAACTCCTAGAAACTTGACTTGGTTAACATCTAAGGAATTTCTATTCTCTCTGCAAGGCATTTGGAATTCCCATATGGTAAATGTAGAAGGGACCTTTTAAAGATCATTTAACATCCTTCCCATCTATGGCAGAGACCTCTTTAACAGTTTTTCTGCCAGGAAGTCTTCTTGCTACAGCCTGGACCCTTCCAGGAATGGAAAGGTGATCCGGTTCATGTGGTACATGGGTCAAAGCTCTAACAGTCATTCCTCTGGGAAACCACTGTTAGAACAATTTTTATTATCAGTGAGCATCTACTCTCCAGGTACAGTGACCAAAGTGAGTACAGTGAGGCGGAACTGTGTTGATTTACGCAGCTGGGATATATGTTTGCAACCAGTGTGAAACATGTGGGTTGGGGACAGAGAAGAAAAGGCAGAGGCCCCAATTTTATGGATGGATATAGTCAAATATTTCTCTCTCTCACCCGGTCTTCCAGGTCCCATTTTTAGAAGCCAATGACAAAATAAGCCCCTGCATTTCTTAGAGATACAGAAGTCACACTGTGCTCTCTCAGGCCCAGTGACTTTAATGCTAACGCCTTCCATTGGCTGATCTACTGGTACCGGGCACGTTACTAAGTACTTTATAAGATGTGTTATTTCATTTGAAACTCCTAAGAACCCCACAAGGCAGCACTGAGAGAGCATGACCTTAGTATGTATGAATCTAACATTTGTCTTGCTCCCATACAGCGTGATTCTCACTAGCAGTATAAAATTAGCACCCATGGAAATCCAAAAAGGAGGCGGACTTGTTTCTTTTCCAACATGCCCTTCACTCGGGAGACCAGGCCCCAAATACCTGTTAACAATGGGCACACAATGGGGGGGGACCTGAGGCTCTATCTGGTCTTCAAAGAGTTCCCAGGGCTTTTCCCCTATTTGGTGACACCTGCTAAAGAATAGATTATGGGGTGGAGGTGGCAATGGAAAGCATACACTAAATGGGAATTGGCAGAAGAGTGGGTTCCTACTTCCCTGGAACAGGCTGCAGTTCAGAAGGGAAACCCCTGGCTCGTGTTGATCTACAAAGGTTCAAGGCGCTGTAGCCTGCTGTCCACTACTGATAGTTTTGACCCTTGCTTCACGTAGTCGGCATTCACGGTATGGGGGAGAAACACAGGGGAAACAGTGACCTACATCATAGAAGAGCCAGAAAAACGATCCCCATTTGTTGCACTAAATAGGGTAAGTGAGTAGTCATTGATCCTGTTTCCAGTAGCAACGGCTACACATCCTGTGGGTAATTCTCATTTAAAAAGAAGCAGTCACAAAAAGCACCGTGTCTCCACAACAGAGAGGGAGTGTTTCGTGTGAATGGGGAAGAAGTGAGAGTACTATGCTTCTAAAGCCTGATAGAAAAATTATAGATTTCTCCAAATTTAAAAGTAGAATAGTTCAGAAAGTAGAAAGTATCTTTCTTTGTCCTATAGCCTTCCCCCTAGTCATTATAGCTAGAGTTCCATTTTGTTTTGTTTCTTTATTCAGAAAGCATGTTTTACTTGGCAGTTTCCTGTTCCTAATCTTCAAATATACCCTGACTTTCCAATTTGGGGGTTGATATTTGGTCACCAAAGTTTTCTAAAAGCAGCACCAAAGCTAAGACCTAAAAGCTGATGTGCAGTGTAAAAGTATGATTATGCAAAAGACATAAACAAGAAATGCAAAAGTGTGATGGAAGAAAAAAAATCTATAATACTTAAGCTATTACTGTTGGACTTAATTGGATTAGACTTCATTTGACCTAACTCACCATCTTTACAAATATGGCCACGAAAGAGCAGACAGTAAATGAGAAATGAAATTCTTAGGCTATTAGAAATAGAAACCTATTGGGGGGGGAATCGGAGGGGGAAACGAACCATGAGAGACGATGGACTCTGAAAAACAAACTGAGGGTTTTAGAGGGGAGGGGGGTGGGAGGATGGGTTAGCCTGGTGATGGGTATTAAAGAGGGCACATTCTTCATGGAGCACTGGGTGTTATGCACAAACAATGAATCATGGAACACTACATCCAAAACTAATGATGTAATGTATGGTGATTAACATAACAATAAAAAATTAAAAAGAAGAAATAAAAAAAAAGAAATAGAAACCTATAAAGACTCTTAGAAATTTCCTAGAGCATGAGACAATATGCAAGTAGACCCAACTTTTCTAAAATGTTTCAAATAATAATTATAAGATGTTGTCATTAAGAAAAAAGTCCAGGGGCGCCTGGGGTGCTCAGTCCATTAAGTCTCTGACTCTTGGTTTCAGCTCAGGTCATGATCTTAGGGTTGTGAGATCGAGCTCCATGTGGGGCTCCATGCTCAGCATGGTCTGCTTGGGATTCTCTCTCCCTCTCCCTCTGCCTTTCCCCCTGCTCATAAACACACACGCTCTCTGTCTGTCTCTCTCTCAAAATAAATAAATCTTAAAAAAAAGATAAAAGCCCTAATTTCTTCTTTATATCTGAGATGAAATCTTTAGTATTTCAAAATGTAACAGGAGTTATATATGAATACATGCAGTCAGATACACACAAATCTACATGTTTTCAAGTATTTCTTGAATGCCAAAGTATAGATTTAAAATCTGATATACAGTATAAAAATGATTATGCAAAACACATCTGAAATGCAAATATATAAAAATGCACATCTGTAAAGAGTATTTCACTTTCTTATTTGAGACCTGGCTGATACCAAGTATTTCTGGTTAGTCTCAGACTTACAGGAAAACTAAAGCAACTAAGAGCAAGGAGCTGAGCATGTCTCAGGGGTTTTATTTTAACTGCTTCAATGTTTTCTTTCCTTGATGGTACCTAGCCTACTGAAACACTACCCCAAACAAACCACAGCACATTGAATAAAAGTCACAGTGTTCATCACTCTCTGATCCTGACTTCACTCTTGCCTTACAAATATCACACTACCAGCACCACTTTCTTCATTAAAAGTCTGGAAAATTGAAAACTGCCCACCTGAATTTCAAATCCAAACGTTCCATTATCTTGCTTTTCCACGGTAATGAGCTTTCTGTAATAAAACATTAAAAATATGCATGAAGATCAAAGCATCACATTTGGCACATTCTTATCATGAAATAACTGTCACGATTACAGATGACTGACATTCAGGTAAACTGTAGTATGTAAGACTGTGTGTTTGTGTGTGTGTGTGTGTGTGTGTGTTAGTGCACGCTGCTAGGAGACCAAAAAAATTCATGAATCTCTTTACCTTTGAGACCAGGAAAAGTCACCTAAAGAACTTGATCTCGTCAAAGCAAGCTGAAAAATATAACAAGCACACAGTTATCAAAAGGTCCTAAGACACATCTATAAAATGTTCTAAATCACAAAGGACTTTGTTCTTTATCACCTTCTTTGGCCCAGCTCTGGGAAATTGTTACGTAAAGGTGGTAATTTACATTCTCTATTGGTAGCAAAGGAGAGCCCGGAAAGGGAACATTGGAGCATTAAAAGGCTAAAAAGAGGCTCAGATAATAATACACCGTGGCAAAAGAGTTCCTGTAATGTGGCAAAACTCCAAAGCTTCCAAAAAGAATGTCGTATCTAATCTGTATTAAAAAGAGTCCCTGAAAGATTAACCAGAGCAATTTATAATCACACGGAAATCCAAAGAAAACAACACCCATAGAATGGCATATAAAATACTTGATAGTTTTTTGAGATACTGATGAAAGGACTGTATTTACTGTAATAGTTCAACGTGTTACTGTTTTTAGGAGAATATAATAATCTGTAAAGAACCAACACATACACAGAAATACAATTGAGGTGAAACCAGGGACTCAAAACCTCAATTCTGTTTTATGATTTATCTTTGCAATAGTTTTAGAAAAGTGCAATGAGATTCCCAGCCAAGAAAGGAAAGGAACCTCAAAATGGTATAAACCATATGAATACTATCACCTTCACTCTCCTGCATGCTTTGGAAAAAGATCATATAGACATAAACTCCCAGGATATATTCTACCCCTGTAAGTAGGAAAAATAAGCAAAAGGAAGCACCTTGTTTTTCAGGTGATTGCTGTGAGTTTGTGTGTGTTTTTATTTTATTCCTTTAGGAATTAACACAAGTTAATTAACCCTTTCTCAAGTCTTGGTCCAGGGGCCCAAAATGTCAGCTTACAGTACTAGCTAAACCATGGTGTTTCACTGTCACTGTGATATGCTTGTCATCGATCAGTAAGTACATTAAAAAATGTCAGGAGATGAACACGTAGTCCAAACAATACAAATATATACTATCAATACATAGTCCAAACAAATACAAATAAGACAAATAGAGGATGAAAAACAGGATAAAAACACATAAAAGAAATTAATGCACACACAAAAAAATCCTTATTAAGGCATTTGTTTGGAGAGAAGCCTATAACACTGTTAATGAATTTGAGTTACCAAGTAGCAAATGCCAGCATTCTCACAAACTTTCTGGAATGGCCCGGTGTTCAGAATTCGCCTATTGATCAATGAAGCTACTGTAAAGAGGAGCTGATCTTCTCTAACTGATTTGATGTAAATTAATCACATTTTGTAATTCCTTGTCTTTTCAGTTTTGGACCTCAGACCATTTGTATCATCCTGAAGACTGCACTAGGAAAGCTCAGACCCAAAAAGAGTCTCTAGATTTGCTAAAAATATTATTTATGTTCAATTTGTAAGGACTAACTGTAAAAGGTCTCCAACAATTTGTATGGTTTGTTTCAGCCTAATTTGTCTTACCTACCACAGACATGGGCGGGGACCACTCAGCTATGCAATGGGGCCACCTTCGTATGGAGGAGAGTGATAAACTTACATTCCCAAGCATTCTCATCTCTCCGGTATACTGTACTCGCGTTGTCTTAATCTGTTTTCATTATTTTTATCTGCCTGGCTTTTACTCTTATTTCCAATTTTAAGCTACTTAGGTAGGTCATATCTACTTATGTTATCTGTTATCATAACTAGGGTTTCTATTTATTTATTTATTTTTAAAGATTTTATTTATTTAATTGACAGAGAGACACACACACACAGCGAGAGAGCAGGAACACAAGCTGGGGGAGTGGGAGAGGGAGAAGCAGGCCTCCCACCGAGCAGGGAGCCGGATGTGGGGCTCGATCCCAGGACCCTGGAATCATGACCTGAGCCGAAGGCAGTCGTTTAACCGACTGAGCCACCCAGGGTTTCTATTTAAAAAATACTACTCTTGCTATCAATATTCATCATATCATTCAGATATTCATATATGAGGAGACATGTATGTGTGTTTATATACAAGGGTATGCTGAATCAAATACCTCAGTTCTGAACGTAACTATCTGTAGCCTTTGGGCCTCTTGGGGAATGTACTTGTTATTGCCCTGTGCCTAGCGCAGGGCCTGGAATAGAGTAGAAACTTAAAAATAGCTAAATAGACAAACAGAAGTAAACTACTAGACACCAATATAAGTAACTAAATAGTGGTGAAAGATCAAATGCAGGAGGAATGTGTTAAAATACTTTTCAACTTTGTCCTTCAGCAAATTTTAAATATTCACAGGAAAATCTCAAGGGTAATCATTAAAAATATAGAATTAAATTTAAAAAATCTAAAACATGTGGCAACATTAAAAATGAAAATCAAGTCAAAAAATAAGATAAAAAAAAAAATCTCAATCCAAAAACAACAAGAACCATAGAGAAAGGACTAATAGAAAGCAAAGGAAGTTAGTAATGCCTTAATACAGAACTACCAAATGAATAAATGGTAGCAAGGATTAATGAGTTATTAAAATTTCCAACCTTTCCTCAGCAATTTTAAATGCCCTTTTGCCAGGCAAATAATCATAATATTGATGGGAACCTCAAGATTCCATCTGGTCCACCTGCAATCTGCCTTCTAAATAATAATAATAAAAAAAAATTCTATTTAAATTCAAATCTAAAATCTTTTAAGTCCACAAGACAAATCCAAGACCTCCACACAGATGGAAACTGCCCCACCCTTCTCCTGCTAACCTTTCTATCTAGCTAATTGAGTAGTTGAAAATATTTGCCCAGCACCACGTGAGACGCATGGCAGAGACTCAATTCCTGTGGACTGACTGATTTGGGTTATCAGTGACACACAAAAAAATCAGACTAAGTCAAAGTATAAATTAGTTTCTACTCTGGATGAGCGATGAACCTCTCTTCGGCACCTAATATTTAAATAAAAAAGAATTTAAATAAATTAGGTACCATCAAATTCTCTGACACGTGCCACATCTTGACACAAAGCCTACTCATCTTTGATCCGGGCTGTCAGACTCAGGTGAAGTGGAAAGGAAGGTTCTCAGGGTTCCACCTTGCTCACACACCAAACTATCTGACGAAGTGGGAGGAAGTATGCCTAAGGCCTTATGGAAGGTCTCACGCTTTGGAAAATGTATTGCCCACAGCCCTTCTCCTAGAGTGAGCTGTCCTGTTCTCAGATCCAACCAGTGGAGGCTGCGCTCCCGAATGCCCTCCCAGCCAGAGTGTCTTCTCAGGGTTGCAGCGCGAGACGCACGAATAAGGAGCTGGTGTGTGACGAACGGTATATGCTGGCAACAGCTGTCTTTTATTACACATTATCTAATATGAGAAATCTAGGTTTGGCGATTTGGCAGGCCTGCAAACTACACATTCAATTACCACTGCTGATTAAGACCAAGCTCCTTAACCCCTTGCTGCCACTGATAGAAAGATGCCTGGGGGTGAGCTTATGATTCCTCTTCTTTTTTTTCTAGTCAGATGACTTAAAAGATCAGGCATTAATATTCAAAATGTAATTTTTGCTGCTATGCAGTGATTCACAGTGCCCCTCTTTAGCAGGACACGAAGACCAAATATTTCAGCTGTCAGTTTGCAAAAGATAGGGGTCATCTGTAGCTCAGAGAGCTAGCATGGGGCCAGGAGGAGCTCCAAGTTCAGTATTGTAACCACTTCAGCTGCTAAATAACAGATTGTTACTTCCTGGTCCCCACTCAGTGTACTTATTTCCTGAAAGTATCGGGGGTGGGGAGGGGATACTTACCAGCGGGAAGTTGTTTCTTTTGTTTTTATTGTGTCAAACGTCCACAAATTATGTGCCCTGCTCACTTTCGAGTCCCTGCCTCCCTCTCCCTGATTCTTCCATGAATATAGCTTTTTTTCCCCCGTTTCCCTTTTAAGCCAGGAGCCTTGGGATAGCAGGGCTTTGCAGACTATTCTAAGATACTTGCTTAATGGAGCTGACTTCAGTTTCCTAACTTGTAAGTGCCCTTAAGGAACCCAAATAAATGTCCCAGCTTCCCAAGAAAGTCTCATTGTGGACTCATGAGCTCCTTTTCCAAGAAAACCTGTGGGCTATTGATTCCAAGCATGTCACAATATGGATTAGAGGACACTTTTCCAATTCCTTAGTAGTGAAATTAATACAGTTTTCTACCTGAAGTATTCATTAGATGATCCAAATACCTTGTTGCAGTTAGGAACACTTGGGAGCTTTGGTAACAGGTGGGTCTGTGGCCAGAAATCAGGTGAAAGCTTCCGAAGGGCAGAATCCACCCCAGAAACACACGCTTTGCAAAATTCTGTATCTGAGCTTTTTAAGTGAAAGCACCCTTTCAGAAGCTGCCTATTGAGCAACAATTCGATAACCCGAAGACTGTCAGGCAAAGGCAGCCTGTGGTACCACTGAGGCACATTCCAGCTTCTTGCCTGGTCCGCAGGTCCCTGGCTCTCGTTACAGCTTTTGGTGAACTCTGCCTTCCAAATGCAACCTACTACCCTCGGGCGAGGGGCCCATCAGGCACAAGCACTACTCCTTTGGCATCACCACATTTATAAAGCCTCTCCTTATTTCCTCTGTTCTCCTTTCCACCATGTTTTCCATTGCAGGGATTTCTTTTCCCCCCAAAGTTATGTTCAGAGGTAGAAGCTGTACTGAGGTGTCTGTCACCTCCTGCAAATACAGGTATGGAGATAATATGCACACACAGAAGTCTATTTTTAAGCAATTCTGAGTGTAAACACCCAAATGCTTCTGAAGATTAATCTGAAACTACAGGCTCACCAGATACAGCTTTGCAGAAACCAAAGCCAGCAATAATGAGAAGTATGAATTGTTGACGTCAGCCCTGAAAGTGTTGAAAATAACAGTGGGCAGAGAGACACCTGCTCATGGGATTGCCTCACAGGGATCTTGTTGCCTGCAATGCGGTCGGTGCAAAATGGGTGATTATTCTCTAAAAACCACTTAAAAGAAATGAACATCCATTTGGAAAATTCTGAAATGTTGGGATAAACTTGCATCAAGCCTCATTGATGAGAATTGTACAGAATCCTAAGTATCGTGTAGAAGAGGTTTTGTTTTTGTTTTTGTTTTTTCCTTACAGTAATTCTCACAACAGGAAGAAAAAGCTCTTTGAATAGGAGTTTACTATGGGAAAGAACATGAGAAAAGGGAGAAGAGAGGACCTAAAAAGAGGAGAACATCAGATAAATTCATTGGTGGGGGAATGTGTGCCTGTGTATGTTCACGAGTATATGTTATCTACATACGCACGATGAGTGGGTTTCTTCTCCCTCGATCCCTCTCACCGTCTCCTTCCAATAACCTCCTACTGACTGCCTTCTCTTAGTCCACGCTGTCCTAACCCACACTTAAAACCAGATATGACTCCTCCATCTTCACTGCCTTTCACAGCCAAGTCTCTGGGTCTCCTCTCCATTCCGTCCATTTCCTCTTTCTCCAAATACAGCAAAAGTTGCTCCCTCGCCATTCATCCCTACCCACTTACCAACACACCAAGTTTCTAGAGTGAGGTTCCTAAAACCCTCTCCTGCTCAAAAACACCCTGTGGCTCCCTGTGCTGGTCAAATGACTGCACCCTCGGGGGAAGTGCTCAAGTGTTTCGTAAAGCAGCCCAGCTCCAAGGTCTCCCCTCCCCTCCCCTCCCACAGACGCTTACTGGGTCCTCCGGACACAATAATGTGCTGTTACCTCAACGTGCCCCAAAGGCCCCCAAATCTGTGCCTCGGCATTAATTATTGCCTTGCTCTGGAATACCCCTCAATCACCGGAATATCTGTCCTTCAAGTTTATATTAAAAGGCGTGTCCTTGGATTAGAGCATTTATGTTGTATAATGCCTATTCATTTGTTCTGCCTACTGAATTGTTAACCCTACAAGGCCAGGAAACGTGTTCTTCTCATCTCTGTACCTCCTACACTGCTCTATATCTGAAACCTGAATAAAGATCTTGGTGCTTCCCACAGCTGCTTTATTTTCAGGCAAGTAGTAAATTGATAGAAATGTTCATCATTTGATTAAGCTTAATGTCATAAAAGCATTTGGGATTAAAAAGATCAAAAATCCGAACCATGGCAAATCACGCCCTTATCTTCATTGTGAAAAATAATGAGGAATCAGCTGTATACATCACTGAGAAAAGATCACGACTCTCCCTCTATGCTTTAACTCTCTAATCCTAAAATTAGAAGGTTTAAGAGGAGCCCGTGATGTGCAGTAGGATTTAAGGGCAAAACTTCATGCTTTAAAGCAATTCTAATTCTAAATTCAGATATGTACTTGGAGCGTGATAGCAAGTTATATAACCAAAACCTGAAGAGGTTAAAAAATTGTTTTAAACATTGGAAATCATAGAATGAAAGAAACTAACTCAACTGGACATGGATTTTTCTAAATAAGTTTTCATCTCTAGGGAAATACCTTGCAGTACAACTAAAAACAATAACATAATTTTTGAGCACATACTACATGTCAGTCCCTGTGTTAAGCACTGCCCACTTCCTCACTTAAGCCATAGAAGAGCTCCTTAGGGTGGGTCTGTTGTTGTCTCCATTATAGGAAAAAGAAAACTAAATCTTAGAGGGGCAAATGAATTGTCCAAGGTCCTACAGCTAGGAAGTGACTGCGCTGGTATTCCATCAGCCATTCACTTATCTAATAAAAGCCTTAATTCCCAATAGCATTAGGAATGTGCCTGTACCCCGGCACTGAAAATAATTTAGTCAACAAAATTTGTCCTGAAGAAAAAGTGCTCTTCTTGGATTGGAAATGACTATCAAAGAGTGAAGCCGGGAGGAAGGAATCAATGAGACACACTGCGGGGGCGGGGGGGGGAATCAATAATTCTCAAACTGGCCATGTCTATATGCACTAAGTTCGATGCGCTTAATGATTTTCATTTTACTTCAACACCTCTTCAAATGAGAAAAACAATCTTCTTTTAAGTTTTGCCTTGAAATTTTTTTTTATTATGGTCTTAAATCTTTTGGACTAGTCCACAAGCTCTCTGGGCTTCCTGTCTCCTTCCTCGCCCATACTCTTAGTGACTAATTCCAAAGCCTGTAAAATACAATTTCGGTGTGAAGTCAGACAAACAGATCAACTCTGCTCTCAAGAGAACATGAACACTCTGAAAGTACAAAACAGTAATCATACCTGCTTTCTTCCCCGAGGCAAAGTAGCCACAGTGTCTGCCAGCATTTGAATCCTTCTATTATCATCCATTCGGAAGCTGCCCGTGAGCGGGGAGTAAGAGTTATATGCTGGACCAGCACTGTAGTCCACCAAATTGCCATTGCAGCTCTGTTGCATGAGCCTTTGTAGAGACATTGTGAATAAAGATTACTCCAGCTCGCACATGGTTGAGTGGCCTTGCAGGATGGGGGAAGCTAAAAACCCTCTGACAAGTAATCAAAAGTAGCAAAGCAGAAAAAGCCCATGTGACTTCTGTGGTTTTAGGTACTTGTTACACAAACCCTATCTTGCAGTTCACTCCCATATCTCAGTGCTTTTTTCTTTAAGCCCTGGAAGAAACTAGTTTTACCGTTAAAAAAAAAAAAAACAACTTATTTTTTTTTTCTTTTTCAAACAGCCAGAACTCTCTTGCTTTTATGTTCTACAGCAAGTTGTGTTCAAAACACCATCTGCCTTTTTTTTTTTTTTAAAGGAAGAAAGAAAAATTTCCCCAAGTTTTGCCATGTGTTACCCACCCATTCTCCTACTCACTATGGGCAGTGCAATGTCAAAGTCAGGATATGCAGACATTGAGTTCTTGTGGATATAAGCAAGAATTACAGGGTCCAGTCATAAAGTCTCTCACAAAGTCCTTTTAATGTACTTTCCCTGAAGTATACCCTAGCTCATTAATGTTCATCAAAAAGACATTGTATCTGCCACTTGGTCTGTAACCATTCAGCATTCTTCTGGTTGCCCTTCTACTACTCTGTCCTGACTAAAATGATCCATCATCTTTACAAGGAACAACAGGAAGAGAAGACCAGCACACTCAGAGCTCAAAGCTGGCCCTATCTTAGACTGCACTTTGTTGCAGCATCAGCATGTGGTCCTGGGGGAGGAATGGAAAGGACAGGAAGGTATCAGGCAAACCAAGGTGGCATAAGAATGTTACCTGTTGGTCCCTGCATGCTCAGATGGGCCAAGGGAACCATCATGAAGTACACAAGATCACATATACTTTTTTTAGTGGGGGATTGGGACATGTAGTTTCGAGAGAACTAGTTTCAGAGGAGGAGCCGGGGATGTAAGTAGAGGAAAGAATCAAAACAAAAATCAAAAAGAGAAGTTTTACATACTGTGACTTTCAAAATAATTTTGAACATCAAGAGTAGAATATAAAGGAGTAGAAAGTTGTGAACTAAAATGGAAGTCAGGGTGAATTCAGCTCAAGCAGAACCTGACAAATACAAATGGCAAAATCTTCTGAGTTAACAGTGCTTCGAGAGATAGAACTACTTCAGAAATTTTTAAAACCTCATCACAGCATAATTCACTACAATTGGAATTGGATTATGACATGAACAAAATGATGTCTCTAAAAACATAAAAATAAGGGTGTCTGCCTTCAGCTCAGGTCATGATCCCAGGGTCCTGGGATTGAGCCCCGCATCGGGCTCCCTGCTCGGCGGGAAGCCTGCTTCTCCCTCCCCCACTCCCCCTGCTTGTGTTCCCTCTCT